GGGGGAGGGGGAAAGAGGGGGGAGGAGGGGGAGGAGGGGAAGGGAGAAAGGGGAGGAGGGGGAGGGGGAAAGAGGGGGGAGGAGGGGGAGGAGGGGAAGGGAGAAAGGGGAGGAGGGGGAGGAGGGGAAGGGGGAAAGGGGAGGAGGGGGAGGAGGGGAAGGAGGAGATGGGGAGGAAGGGGAGGATTAGCAGAAGGGGGAAGAACGAGAAGGATGAAGAGGGGAGGAGGAGGAGAGGGGAGGAGGAGAGGGGAGGAGGAGTGGGAAGGAGAGGGGAGGAGGAGGAGAGGGGAGGAGGAGTGGGAAGGAGGGGGAGGAGGAGGAGAGCCGTGACAAACAAGGCAGCCCAGCAACCACAAAGCAGGAGTCGCCAGTTTCCAGATGGCCTTCGCAGTGAAGGTCATGTGGGGAAGTCACGACACGCACCCTGACTCAAGAGGGTCTCCAGCGCGGTCAGGGTGAGGGGCAGAAGGGGGAAAGCAAGGCAGCGCTACGGTCAAGGGCTCGAGTCCCTCCTCGTCCAGTTCCTGCCACCAGCCCGAGCTCTTCCTGCTCTGAAACCTGGGCTGGGCTGTCCCTTTCCTGCCACCCACCCCGTCTCTGGGGATCCTCAGGGCTTCGGGACAGAGGGGCCACCTGTCCCCGGGGCACCAATTTTACTCGGTTCCTTGGTGGGACGCATTGTTTTGATTAAACATATAGGGACTTATTTCATAACAGATGTAAGATGTATGTGAATTTTTAAGATGAAATAGGAGTATTTCAGAAATTTTGTACCTGTAGGCATCTTTATAAATCACCCAAGAGCTATCTCCTCTCTCCAGCTGTTCACGGGGGTCACGAGCCTAAGTGCAGGGGGCAGACACAAGGGCTCTGGCACCGACTCCCTGAGTTTGAGTCCAGGCTCTGCCTGTATGACCTTGAACAAGTTATTCAACGGCTCTGTGCCTCAGTTTCCCCATCTGTGATAATGGGCCAGTATTAACAGCACTTGCCTCATAGGACACGTGCATAAAGTACACATAAAAGCACCAGGTTAAGTGTTGGCTATTTTATTGTCCTGGTGTGAAAGCCGAGAAGTGCCATGACAGACGTCAGAGCCCTCGACCCTCCATTCCGTGCCACCTGGAGCTACCTTCTCTCCGCAGCAAGAGCACTGGTAACAGTGTCTGGCTCTCAGACGTGCCTGATGAGGTACAGGCACCAGCAGCTTGCCCCCAGCCCCCTCCAGAGAGGGGGGAATGAAGACCCCATGGGGCTCTGACCCCAGTGCTCTGCCCCATGCTCCAGACATCCCTCACCTGGAAGGCACTTCCTGGCCACTCACCGTCACTATCTCCTCCTTTCCTACCAACTCCTGTGCATCCTCAGGGCCAGGCCTGGGACCAAAGTGAAGCAAAGGGGCACAAAACGTAAGGAGGCTCTCAGAATCGTGCAAATGGTCAGGGCTTAGTCCAGACATCACCTCCTCCAAGAAGCCCTCCCCTAAACTCATCTATCCAAGTCTATTTGATGTCCCTGATGGCTCTGACCTCCAATCAGATTCCACTGTAACTGCCTGTTGACCAGCCTGGCTCGCCACAGGGTGTGTCATCCTTTTTCCTCCTGTGTGTAGAGCCTCGTGCTTGCTGAGCACGGGGAAGGAGCCCAAGAAATGCTGAATAAACGTTGAACGAGTCGTCCTACGGGAGCCCCAGAAGCCTGCGCCAGTCACCCAAGTGGGGTGATGAGATGGAAAACAGGTGGGGAAAGGAGAAGGGGAGAGAGTGGAGGGAGCACGTGGGTGGCTTATGGCAGAAATGCCCCTGACCAGAGGGACAGACCCCCAAGAAAGAGCAAAGCGCCCCCTTCCCCCACTTCCTGACGAACACGGGATCCCCGAACTCCCTCGATCATTGCTTCGTTCGTGCAGCAATCCTGTGCTGAGCCCCACCAGCGCCAAGCACTCTGCTGGAGCCCAGAGACACAGGTGGGGGGGCAGGGCCTCCGCCAGTGCTCCCAGGAGGCCTCCGCGGGCCCAGCTGTTTCTGCGTCTCACCATACTGATTATGGACCCTCTGTGCCTGATGCTGGCATACTGAATCACAGTGATGTCAGCCTTCGGGCCACCTTGTGACAATCCGACCGTCAGGCTTGTTCTTCAGGAGACACACGGTGAGATGTGATGCAACTACGCAAGGAAGATCAGGAGGTGGAGATGTGGTACCCTGGGCATCACTGATCCTCTCATCCCTGGCCCCCATCCCCTGTCCCCTCCCTCGTAAAGTCCTGATAGGCCCCAAAATGGCCAAAAGAGAATCCCCACACTGGAAAACCTGCCTCCAAAAAGGAGGGGACACAGGAGGCCAGGGAAATAGCAGAGAATTTGCCTGGATGTGAACCCCAAGTGTGGCAGGCAACTGCTGAATGACTATGATTGTGGCTTCTAGAATCTCTGTGCCCCAGTCTCAGCATTGCTAATGACATGACATGACATATGCAAAGCCTCAGCACGGTCCACCGTCGGCTTCAACAAATGCTGACTCTCTCCCCTCGAATAATGAACTATACTACGATATCTCCATACAGCTTTATAAAAGTTATTTTTGTAATTGGTATGTTGCAGGCTCTCCCCCACTCAAAAAAACCATTGTCTAAGGCTGTTCTTTTGTCAATGATCACTGGAGTTGTCAAGCACTTCTGCTCAGTGGAGACACAGGCTCCTTTCTGGGGACAGGTGACACAAGGCCAACAACCTCCACCCGGGGTCTGGAAATGCTAAGAAAAAAGAGGGGAAGCCTGGGTTTGGTTGGAAGACATAAATGGGAGCCAGGGAAGTGGAGGGAGGTGGCTGAGGTGAAGGGCGATGCAGAAAGGAAGACGGGCTTGAATGAGAGAGGTGGGCAGGAAGCATGGGACACCCCAGGGACCCCCACACAGGCCCTGTGCTGGGGGCCAGCAGCAAGTGAGCAGAGTGAGGCGCAGAGCTACAACCAATAATCAGCAATACCCAAAAGGGCCTTTTATTCCAAATAACGAGCTTGCGTTTATCCGGGAGGTCAGAGAGAGGCGCCCTCCAGCAGAAGTTTGGGTGGGAGTGGGTGGAGAAGCCTCCAGGCAAGGCCACTGTGATGACCAGGCAGATAAATCATTAGAGACTGCATTAAGACCGTGATCCAGGATCAGAAAAGAGGAAATGGATCCAAGCGATGTGTGGCTGGTAGGACCGGCAGATGGAGAAAGTAGGGGTGAGCAAAAGGGAGGCATCGAAGAGAACTTCCACATTTGGGGCAGCTAGACGAATGGCCTGGACTGGGAACCCAGAAGGAGTCAATCCTAGTGAACTTGGTTTTGGATAAACTGACTTTGAAACAGCTGAAGGACGCCAAGAGTCTGGTGGTGCTTGCAAGCAGCCCAGAGCTCAGTGCTGAGTCCGGTGAGTTGTCCCCATGGACTCCCTGGCTTTCAAGGTTCTGCTTCCTCCTCTGTCCAGTGAGGCTGACACCTACATCATAGAATTATGGAGAGACGATACACTACACAGGACGGCCGTGCGAGAGCCCCCAGCCCTGTAGCTGGCACGTGGCGGGAATTCCGTATTTATTGAACCTGAAGGTGATCATGGCCATCAATGGTTGGTTTGTTGGAATACCATCGCCGCGAGTGTCTGGACAGCTTGTTCTTTTCGTCATGGTCTCTTCGGGGCACTTTCGGCTAGCGGGGAGGGGAGAGGACCGTGGTCAAGGTTGCCAGGAGACCAGCCACTGAGGAGGGAGCTCTTCGTGTCCACCTCCTCAGCTCCCACGCCAGGCTTGTACCTGGCCTCCTCCCCAGCCTCCCTGCCCCAGCGGGATTCCAGAGACAAGGAGGTGCTCTCCAGCCTGACTCAGGCAAACTGAGTGCTGGTTTCTGACATGCAGGCCCTGAGGCAAGTCGTGCTCTGGGAAGATAAACAGGTTTTTATGACCTCCACCTTAGGACAAAGCCTCAACCTCCGGCTGCTGTGAGAGGCACATTCCCAGGACGAGAAATGACCTCCAGCTGCAGGAGAGCCTGTGAGGCCTCCCTGGCTAGACTGTGAGCTCCCTGAAGGTAGGAACCCAGGTCCCTCGGCTCCCCGTCTCCTCCTGGCACCTAAACACCTTGCACATCTGGGTACATGGTCAAGGAAGGTTTCTTCAATTTTAATTCCTCTGTTTCTGGTTTGGAGCCAGGGTCTTCTGCCTGAGGTAAGCTGTTAGACACACCCCTCAAAACTCAACAGAGAGATGTCATTCATGCCTGGTCAAGGTCAACAGGGTCCAGAACCAACAGTCCCTGCCATTTCCTCCTCCCCCTTCCCAACTCTGCCCCTACTGAGGGGCCCTGGAGTAGATTCCCAAGTCATGCCTGAGACAATGCATTAGGTCCTTCAGTTCACCTGCCCCCAAATTACATCACCTGGAGCAGGAAGTTGAGGCAGCTCCAAGAACTTTCTCCTCCCTCTCCTCCCCCGTGGTCTCAAACACTGGTCTATGGAGTACTGGAGTAGAGCACAAGACACTCGGGCCTGCTCCCTGATACTCCCATGGGGGCTGGCCACTGAAAACAAGCCAATGAACACAAACCCACCTTCCTCCCCTACATCTTCTCTGCGCCGGGTCACCCCTGCACCCTCTCTGGCCAGTACAAGGCAGACAACCATGGGCTGCTTCTCACTCCAACTAGCTAGGGCCGTAACACATGCTAACTCAGCCCCATAACCGCAGTTCTGGTGTTTGAGGAAAAGGGTTGCTCCCAGAGCGCCTGGGTGGCTCAGTTGGTTAAGCGACTGCCTTCGGCTCAGGTCATGATCCTGGAGTCCCGGGATCGAGTCCCACATCGGGCTCCCTCCTCGGTAGGGAGTCTGCTTCTCCCTCTGACCCTCTTCCCTCTTGTGCTACCTCTCATTCTCTCTCTCTCTCTCTCTCTCAAATAAATAAATAA